CTATTTCCCACTAAAATGAACCAGGACTCCATGGTAAAATGGCTGGAGCAGTGAATGTACAAGGTGAGCCTGCAACATCTTATTGAGCAAAAGAGTAAGAAAAGTGCTCAGATACCAATGTGGACACATCCAAAGGCCATAGGAACCAGCTTGAAGAGCATGCCACCAATCAAATTGGAGATAATTTAATCATCAAAAAAAAAAAAAAATGAAGGTAACATTGTAACACACTGCATAAATTTTGAAGTAGGAAGCCTTAGGTACATAGTGATCATAAAAAATATATTAAAATAAAAGGAGAAAGTAGGCTTCTTTATAGAAGTTTGTCAGCAAGTACATATAGAAGGATTGGCAGAATTGGGAAATCACTATTTGGCAACCACAATGTAACGATTGATTCAGGCAAGGATTATCAATGGCTACTGAAACTACTAGATCAAAAAACAAAAAATTTCTGGAAAGCAGAATATCCACACGATCTCAAAGCATCACCCCCACAGATTAATTATTAACTACAAAAGGGGACAAGATACTTTTAGAATGCAGAAATCTGGTTAAACTAAGTGATAAATCTTTACATCACCAATAATGGAACAAACTATAATTATATTACTCCTGATGCTAGGAAATAGAAAGTTCATAACATCACCTACGTAATAGTTTTAAAAAACTGTTTAGTGTGAAACTAATTGTGAGGCAACCATCAGACAAATCAATTTAGGGAGGCATTCTACAAAACAATTAGCCTGTACTCTTCAAAAATGATGTTTTTAAGGCCCAAAAAAAGTAAGAAGAAAAAGAAAAGGTGAAGACATCCACATAAAAGAAAACAGAAACATAACAACTAAATACAATTCACTATCTCTGATGAAATTCAGTATTCTTTTAAAAATGCAATAATGACATTAACTTGGATATTTGGAAAAATCTAATTTTTGAATAAGGACTGTATATTAGATAATATTATATCAATGTTAAATTACTTGGATATGCTAATGGCATTATAGTTATGTAGGAGCATGCCCTAGTTCTTAGGAGATGCATGATGAAGTATTTAGGGATGAAGTGTCATGATGTCTCCACCTTACTTTCAAATAGTCAGCAAGAAAAGAACTGTGTGTGTATGTGAGCACTAATGAGGCATAATGTTAACAACTAGTGAATCTAGGTGAAGGATATACAGTATTTATTCTACTATTCTTCCAACTTTTTTATAGGTTTCAAACTTTCAAAAGAAGAAAGTTGGAGAAAAAAAATAGGGTGGAAATTAAGTTGACTTTGGAGCAGCTGATCAGACTTTATAAAGCCTAACTACTTCTGCGCCCCATCCAAAAGAGCTAAAAGCAAGTATATATACACAGGCCGGTTAGTTAGCTCAGTTAGAAAAAAACAAAAACAAAAAAACACACATAAAAAAGCAAATATTTACAAAGTTCACAAAGGACTTGACTAAAAATAAAGGAAATAATCTTAACAAATAATAAGTAATCACATTACTCAAATATACCAAGCTAAAACAATGACACAAAAGGGAAAAAAACAAGAAATTAACCATGAACACTACTGCCACAATAAAAAATATTAATAAACAAAGCACGTTCCCCCAAACCTAGTACTCTTTCAATGTTCTCAACCTCAGTGAACTGTACCAAAACCCAGCCAGTTATATAAGCCAAAAACCTAAAGGTAGCCAATGACATCCTCCACATCTAATCCATCCCTCACCTCCACATCTAATCCATCACCCAATTCCACCTCGTAAACATCTCTGGAATCCATCCACTTCTAACTATCATCACAACCATCTTATCCAAGATAATACAATCTCTCATCTGGACTATTCCATCAATCTCCTAACTAGCCTCTCCCCATCCCCACTCGTATCCCCTCCGTAATCAATTCTTCTCTATATAACATCAACTTCTTTTTCTATACCATTGTTGTAACTTTAAATTCCTTTGACAGAGTATGTGATTTATGTCTGCTTCCTCTGCTACACAGTAAATTCTATGAGAGTAGAGACTTTTATTTAATCACTACTATATCATTGTGGACTAGAAGAGGGCCTAGTTAATAAACAAATGCTAAATGACTGAATGCATGTCAAAGATTGCAAATTAAAAAACAGTCCAAAAAATTAAAATAAAGTGGTTATAAATCTCATCAACCATCATAAGGAGTACCTTATGTCATCAATTCTAGATCACAGATTTTTACATTTGAACTCTGAAATGCATCTTTCTATTAATCTTGGTCTGTTTAATTGACAATATCTTTTTCTCTTAGTGATTCATAAAATAATGGTGCATCTTGAAATTTTTTTTTTAAATCTTATGATTTGATGAAACAGATAAATCTACAATTCACTTAGCTCACTCAGTTCAAATCTAGTAAGCTAGCCTCCCTTCTCCTTTGGCCACCTCCAACATTCAATAATTAACAGATCCTACTGGTTCTTTCACCAACAGCTATCAAATCCAATTCTTTCTTCCATTCCCACTTCAGATTTATCTAATTCCTCATCTCACATCTGGGTTCTTGCCATAGCTTCATTCATCTAAACATCATTTACAAATTCAAGTAACACTGTGCACCTACCATGTGCAAGAAAACTGAAGATACAAAGTAGTCTAGTTACCTGTCCCTCCCTCTAATCTCTATCCCCTACAATTCAGCCTCAGGAATTTTATTCATTTTATTCTTCAGTCTGGAATTACTTTCCTCCCAATTTCTACCTACCAAATTCCCAACCATTATATAAATTCCAGGTTAAATCTCATTTCTTCAAGAAACCTTCCCTAGTTAATTTCTCTTTGCAATTCTAACATTCTAAAACACATAAAATCTAATTGGCTATATTTTCTGCTCCTGGAAGGCAAGGTTTACATCTCATATGTTCTGCTAGGGTATAAACTCTCTAAGAGCAGGGACTTTCATTCTCTTTTGTTCACTGCTGTATCCCCAGCACCTAGAAGAGTATCTGGTGCATAACAGATGCTCAGCAAGTATTTGTTGAACTAATGCTCCTTATACCCCAGGATAGAGAACAAATCTTTGCAGCTGTGGTAAAATCGAGAAGAGTCAAAAAGAACTGAACTAAATGATTTAAACTCTTTTGGCTTCAGTTTCTTCATCTGCTAAATGTAAATAATATTCATTAGCTCTCTGAATTATAATTAACTGAGATAATGCTTTAAAAGCACATAGTACAGAGCTGAAGACAGGAAGTTATTCTTATCAATAAATGTTTTGATGATTTTGTGATAATAGTCAAATAGAAAGAAGTATTCAATAAGTGCCTACGAAATGAATAAAAATCTCAGGGAAAATATAAAAACTTTGAGTAATGTTAGCTTTTTATCATTTTTCCAATGTAGAATTCCATGAGTGAATTAAGTCTGAAATACTATATATATTTAGCCCCAAATCTTAAGCATGGCTGAAACCATTTCAGATTAGGTAGGAATAATCCCAATTTGACATGGTACAAGTATTAATATTTATATTTTACCGACTTTTATAGAGTATACCTGATTACTTGAAGAATGATAATCTTAGTTATTACAACTTGTTGCAATAATCAGAATAGAAGAGAAGCTGCAAACTCATTTGAGTTACATGGTTCCCAGCAAACCAGGAAGTACAAAATTTCTGCCTGCGAAACATTAGTGAATAGTATACAATGCTATTTACCAGAGTTGTCAAAATATCTAGAAATACTTCATAACCAATTACCACAAATACACTTTTCATTGTATTTGCATCCTACTTTACAGAAAAAGAACATCAACTAAATGGCTTTTAAACTCTTTTTACTAAATTATATAATAGTCCACTTTTGACTTTAAACAGTTCTCAAAATTTTATAGCAAATGAACAGATAATTAATACAATTTAGCATCAGATTATTGGTATAATTAGAAATTCTTCCCTGTTCAGGAAAGAAACTTTATCAATTTGAAACTCAGAAAATACATGTACTGTACCTTTCAAAGCCTTTCTAATCCCTCTTAGTACTTTCAATGACACATCTAATTACAAATCACAAACAAGCAAAAAGGAAAGATCACTCCCTTGTGTCTATCTGCTATCAACTGAAACAAAATCATTGGAAAAATTCCACTAGGGACATATGGTCTCAATAGGAAAACAGAGGAAAATTCCTACTTAAATAATTCAGATAAAAAGAACTGCAGCAGGAGGTATTTTCCTCTAACCACAGGGTAGCTATGAACCCCACGTGGGAAAATAATCAATACAAAATGAAAATGTAAGCCAAAGAAACCATTAAAAATATAAATTCAATAAGTAGAGTCATGCTGAGTTGACCGTTGAAGTCTCTCGTTTTCATAATCACATGTACGAATGTATTCTAAACCTCCAACCTCAAAAGCCCTTAGATGTAGGTGGAGTTGGAAGGACAGAGGGTGAGCGAGAACCAAGTAAAGTGAACGTCAATATTCAGATGGAAAGGCATTAATATATCCAAGCTAGTGTGTTATGGCTGGAAGCAGTAATGAAGACCAAAGTGGGGAAGAAGGGGACCAGGAATGAAAAAATTGAGATCTTGGGGATCCGGTTTTTGTTGCTGTTTTTATTTTTCTCTTCTTCTTTTTTTAAACGGGGAGAAACAAGGCCGACAGAGCATAGCATGGGTAAGGGGTCAGACGGATGCTACAGCTCAGGGGACAAAAAGGTAATGCCTGGAATACCTAAGAAAAACACAAGGAAAGGAAGAACAGCTGCCCACAGCAAGGCTTACGTTTGTTATCCTCTGGAGCCCAAGACCGAGAGAGGAGGAGTCAGAAGACAAATGACACTAGAAAGGAGAGATGAAGGAGGTGCCAAAACCCTCAGAGAACCTAGACGTTTGGTTACAAGGTTTCCACGGAGGGCAGGACCTCCACCCCACCGACCCCCCAAGAAACTCGGTCATTCAGGAAAGAGAGACGGTAAGTCCCAACCTTCTCCCCTCTATTAGCTTCAAGTCTACCCCTCACCGAAACAGAAGGACTGGAGAACTGTACAAATGTGCAGGGGCCACCAACCCGGGAAATGCTGCAGCTCTAGTAGCAACCCCCACAAAAGCAGCCCGCACGCATCCAGACGCTCCGACCTCAGCACCGCAGCTACAGGTACCTCGAGCTCCCCGGCCACCGTAGTAGGAGGGACGGCCTCCTCTTCAAAACCATCAGGTCAAAGCCACTTCCGGGGCACTAAAGCCTTTCGGTTGGCGGTAGCGGTAGCAACAGCTTACTGGCTTCTGCAGCACTTACTTCATCCACCCCATTTTACCACCTGTTTCCCACCTCAACCCCTAATCACCAATGTGGCAAGCACAGAATCGAGAGAACGTATCCATCTGTAAGCAAAGTCAAAACAGTTTACGGTCGCCATAAGTTCCTGTTGAACAATTGGACTTCAACTACCAGCATGCCATGCAACATTAATCCCTTAACTTCGGCGCAGGAACTACAAGATCCAGCAAGCACTGCGTCCCTCAGTTTTCACTTCCCTGAACCAAGCAATGTAGACCTCCTACCCCTCCACTTTGATAGTACAATACCGGTGTTCCCTCCTCTCTTGCTGTGAAGGTACTCTAAGCCAAGAAATGGTTAGGACTGTAGGTTAGACACTCATGAAATATCAAGGGATATGTGCACTCATTTTCCACGTTCAGATTATTTTCAAGGAGTGAAACACAGGACAGTCTGAAGAGGCTTTTTATGAAATGGGAATTTTTAACCTCACTTTTAAGAGATGACGAAAGATATTCTAATTTATTGCAAAATGAACTCCTATGTCATTTTGCAGTACCATAGATTTTGTTGGGGCAAGGACTACCAGGCATGCTCCTGAACTGCATAGGATATTACAGTAAGAGCTACAAGTAAAAAAAATTAACAATCTGTACTACCAGACTATGAAACCACATGAGAATGAAAACCTTCCAGATTGCAGTCGAAAAGTGCAAAACTAAACTTGATATATGTTTCAATTTTTTAATGCGTTTAGTGGTTTGAATTATTTTATTTTTATTATTATTCTCAGAAAAGCAGGTAATGGAGCTATTTATTTTCTATGTCGTAGGGCATCTGAGTAACCAAACAACGATTTGACGACATCACAAATAAGACATTTATTACAGTAAGCAAACAAAATAACTCTTTTCTTGCCTGGTTAGGTAGCCTGTGTTTCCATGTTTTGAAACACAGAACTCTGTTCTGATTTTTTAGGAGAGATAACATTCATCTAACAAGCCATCTGGATGCCTATTTGTAACTTTCATAAAGACTTGGATTACAAGAATGAATATATTTTATTCTTGGTATTGTGGATAAACCAGCCACAAGAAAATGCTTAGATTCTTAAAATAACTATATGGTAATTAAAATTAAATTCTATGTGTACCACAGTCATTGGTTATCAATGATTTATAGCAAAAAAATTTAATTGGTTAGAAAAAGGGAATAGAATACCTTTCATTTTTACAACTTCGCATCCAAAACACAGAGAGAAATTATTCTGTAACACTGACATGGCATCAGCTACCATACAAACTGTTTTCCGACTCTAGTGTGCTAAATTATGCAGCACTAGCAAGTAAATATTTAAAATCTATGATATGGAAAACAATCTGCTGCTTTCCATACTCATGCACCAAAGGAATATGAATGCAGTGAGAGAACATTTCCATTGGAATGATTCAAAGATAATGTTGATAAAATATAATTAGGTTATCTGATATTCATAAGTGTTTGTAGTAAATAAACACATAATTGCATCCACTTATAGTGATGTTATTAAGAAAGTTTTAAAATATGCTAAATATTTGACGCACTTATTTTTAATGCAGTTTCAATTATCAATCATGTAAATGAACACGGAAGAGAGTTTAAAGTATACATAATTTATGTAACAGACTTTATGTTTTTTAAAGAGATTCTTGGAGCTACAGCACTCAATAATATGGTCTCCTCTAAATGTGTCTTTGATTTTTTTAATTCAGCCCATTGGCAACCAGACAAGAGTTAAAACTGGACGCACTGTTCATTTCAGTTCAACAAGTAGATGATGAGTGCTACTAGGGGCAAAGCATTCTGCCTAGGCACTGTCAGCTGTTTCTGAGGCACAGATAGGTTTGATAATTAGGAAAGATTTAAAGGGAAATGAAAAGCAGATGAGAGCTTTATTAGAATGAAAAACAGAAAGTAAAATATGTATAACACTGACTTTTAGTAATCACTTATGCATTTGGTTAATTGGAACTCGATAATTAATAGCTAGTATACCTTCTAAAAGGCAGGAGCCATATCTTAAATATCTGTCTCTCAGCTCTTAAGTACAGTACTTCGTACAGAGTAATTGTCTCTCAATAAGTGTTTGTGGAAGTTCATAGTGAGGCTCTGAAACTCCCTTCTCATTCTACTATGTAGATTTAATGCAAGCTATTTCCAACACCTGTGCTTTATTTTTTAAATTAGTAATTCGAGTTATATAATAAAATAACTATTAAAGCCAGAATATTTGGCTAATCACAATGCCACATTCAATAATCATTTCCTTTTTAGTATGTGTGTGTGTGTATATATATGTGTGTGTATAGATATAGATGTAGATATAGATATAGATAAAACACATTTGTCTTAAGTGTCAAGCCCTTTCTAAAATGTCATCATATCCTGGGCATATACTTTGACAGCACTCCAGCCATTCTAATAGCATTGAGCGTTATACAGCTCCAGCTTTTTATTAGTAAACTTTTAATCCTTAGCTTCTACCAAGAGTACTTCTTATCCATCTCCCTCCTCGAATCAGGGAAAGATAAATGTTCTGTTTAATAAGTAATTGTGTACCATGAATGCTTCCTTGGGAATATTATATTGAGATAAGTTGAACTTAGCATTGGTGAGACACATACCTTGTAGACTTCTAAAGGCCAAAACGTTATTTTAAAGAAAAGTTGGTGAAAAACTTTTCTCCTTTCAAAGTAACCTCATGTCAATCTATCCCCTCTCCTACATCTTCAATATTTCTATCTATCTATCTATCTATCTATCTATCTATCTATCTATCTATCTCACTGCTCCCTTTACCTCAGCCTACAAACCTGCACAGGATCCCCATAATTTTGAAAGCACCTCCAATGGACTTAGCTTCTTTCCTAAATGCAATATTGTTCTATCTTCCTTTACCTCCCATGACCATACTTCAGCAAGTGCTACAAAGTAAACCTTAGGGTTGAAATGCAGCATAAGATTTCTTTACAGCAACTAATATTTACTAAACATCCACAACTATGGTAGGTCCTGGAAATATGAAGAGAAATCAGATAAGGCGCTTATGTTCCCACAATACAGTGTGGTAAATGCTATGATAGAAGTATGGACGAGGTAGTAAGAGAACAAGGAGAGTGAGTTACTCTCAAATTGAGAGATACCAGAGACAGAAGTTCCTGAGATAAACAACAAAAGTAAGAATTAATTAATAGAAGTGGGAAGTTCAACTGTTTAGGATAACGCATAAATTCATTATAGCTGGAAAATGTTGATGTTTGGGGGGAATGGTAAAATATAAATCTAGAAAGACAGACTGGAGCTATTTCATAAAGGGGCTTTTTATAATATGATAAGGACCTTGGACTTCAACCTGGATATAAAGGGAACCATTTAGGGAGTGATATGGTTAGATTGCATTTTAGGTTGCTGGTTGCAGTGTAAAGAATGGATTGAGCTGGCAAGATTAGTTAGCAGACTGTTTTCTAATTCAGTTTGTAAAATGAGAGATCTGAAATAAAGCAGTGGTAAGGGAAGAGCAAAATGTTGGTCAGAGATATTAATAGAATCAAAAGGAGGAAGTGTGAGTGAAAAAAGAAATCAAGGCGGACTCCCAGAGTTCTGGTTTTTCAATTTTTCACATGTTGAGTTAGAAATGTTATCAGATGGCTATGCACAGGAGACAGACGTGGAGCTTAAGGAGAAGATTTGAACTGAATATATAGCTTTGGGAGTCATCAGCTTTAAATACGGGCATTAGTAAGATTGTGAGCCAGGAGAGTGAGGATCTGAGCTAGTTACCAGGAAGTCAACGGGTGACAGAGATGAGGTAGGGTGGAGAATGGTATATGCAAATGTCATGGAATCGTTCAAAGGAACAGGATTTTTACATAAGAGCAGGACGGTACTAGTTTAGATGTAGCATTGAAGAATGGAGAGAAAGATGAACTCATCACTGGACCCAGTATTTATCAATAAATGAGACCAAAAAGACACAAATTCAAGAAGGTTGCAGAGGTCAAAATCTTCAGGAGAAAGTCAGCATTCATTAAGACCAGGAGGCAGAGCAAGAATTCTGTGAGGAGAATAAGGATGTAGTGAATTAGAGCATCAAAGAAGGAATAGAAAGATTTGGAGGGAGAAAAGTAGCAAGACTGGGTCATGGGAAAGGAAGCACAGGTGAGAACACAGAAAGATGATGACCAGGGATGACGGGAACATAAGGTGGCATTCACCAGCCTCAGGGTCTCACAACAGAAATCCTGTATACATCTGTGGTTCATCCAGGCCTGTGTGTGTAGCTTTGACTGGTCTCGGCAGCAGAGAGTGTACTTGCCTTGTTCACACACACTCACATCCCTTTGTAATTGAACCCGCCCTCCTCCTCACAGTCAATTGCTTCAGGAGAGTGATCACCCCCTACTCCCCCAACCCCCCAGTCCTTACCACAAGGCGTGAATTATGATTTGCCTAAAGTTTAAACTCTGAATCAAACATTGGGGCCCATCTCTCTTGTTTTAGGCATAAACGTTACGCAATTTCAAGCAATAAGACTTAAGGGAAAATCTGCCATGGAGCTTTGGGAAAAGTTTTTCTCCCTAACAAAAAGCAGTGCATGCTGCCCACTCACGTTCATAGCAGCGTTATGTACAATAGCTAAAAGTGAAAGCGACCCAAGTGCCCATAGACAGAAGAATGGTATAGCATGGACGAACGTTGAGCACATTATGCTTAGTGAAATAAGCCAGTTACAAAAAGACAAATACTGTGTAATTCTACTTATGCGATGTACATAGAATGGTTAAATGCATAGAAAGTGGAATGGTGGTTGTCAAGGGCTGGGGGGAGGGGGAAATGGGAAGTTATTGTTTAATGAACATAAAGTTGCAGTTTTATGAGATGAAAAGAGTTCCGGAGATGTATGGTGGTGAGGGTTGCACAATAATATAAATATACTTGATGATACTGAACAGTACACTTAAAATGATTAAGACAGGATATTTGATGTTATGTGTATTTTACTACAATAAAAAAAAATTAGAAGAAAACAAAAAGCAGTGCAT